GAGCCCGGCCCGACCAACGGGCCTAAACTTGGGCCCGAGCCCGGCCCTCAAAAAAGCCAGAAGTCCGGGCCCAAGCCTGAAGCCCGACTTGGGAGTCTGAGCGCCGGTGCCGTCTAAGAGAATGGTGCCTGTTGAGTTCGCCGATTCCTGGGAGCCTAAGAGTGAGAATAGAAACCTAGAAAGTGAGAAAATAGAAGATGACAACAGTGTCGGCTAGAGAGAGAGAGAGAGAGAGAGAAAGAGAGCTCACCGCTCGAGAGAGAGAGACGATCTAGATTTGGTGATGCCAGCCGTCGGTGCCTGAGTTCATAGAATGAAAACGGTGCGCCTGGGTTCTGGTGGCGCCGGCTGGAGAGAGAACTGAGAAGATAGAAGACCTAGTTCTAAGAAGAGAGAGAATTGAGAATGAGAAGAAAGAAGATGAAAACGGTGCCAACTAGAGAGAGAGAGAGAGATCACCGCCAAAGAGAGAGATGACTAGTTCTGGTGGAGTCGGCCGTCGGTGACTGAGTTTCGCAGGTGCAGTTGGGTTCACCGGTTCTGAGAGTTGAGAGGGAGAAATGAGAGCCGCTTTAGGGTTAGGTAGTTTGGGAAAAGTCGGGCCGGGCCGGGCTTTTTTAACAAATCCCGAGCCCGGCCCGTAAAATAGTCGGGCTCGGGCTTTTAGGCCCGAGGTCAAGCCCGCGGGCTAAAACACATGCTCAAGCCCGTCCGGAGGCCAGGCCGGCCCGTCGGGCCACCCGACCCATGAACAGGTCTAATACCTGAGATAGAGAGATACCTCCATCACCAGCAACACAACCAAATGGCTGGGATCGATGATGAACAACCCAAAATGCTGAAGGAGTATTTCACTCCGACCCAGTATAACCCTTCATCCTGCATACAATTGTCGGATACCCAAGCCTTGCAGTATGAGATTAAATCAAGCACAATCCATATGCTCCCCTCTTTTTACAGGAACCCGAGTGAGGACCCATACAAACACATAGATGAGTTTCTGGAAATTTGTTCCACTGTAAGGATCCAAAACTTTAATGACAATGCCCTTAGATTAACTCTTTTCCCCTTCTCCTTGAAAGACAAGGCCAAGCACTGGTTGGAAAGTATAGGGAGACCTATTAGAACTTGGGCAAAAATGCAACAAGAATTCCTTAGAAAGTTCTACCCTATAAGACAAACCAACACCATGAGAAGAGCCATCACTGGATTCACCCAAACATCGGGTAAACAAATTCACGAGTCTTGGGAGAGAACGAAAGAGTTGTTGAGAAAGTGCCCACACCATGGCCTATCCAAGTGGCAAATTGTCCAAGCCTTCTATGAAGGTTTGACTGATCAATACAGGCAAATGGTAGATGCATCCTGTGCGAGGGCATTTATGAGTAAAAGTGAGAATGAAGCATATGCTCTTTTCAAAACATTGAGTGAAAATTCCATCAACAATGCATCATTATATTCCTATGAGAGGTCGGTGGGACCCTTAAAGAGGGTAGGGCTCTACGAGGTCAGGAACAGTATAGAGCCCGAGGCAAGAATGGAGCTGAATGCAATCTCTAGAAAATTGGATAAGGTAGATCTTTTAGCCCAAAAGCTTGATCAATTCTTCACCTATAACCAACAATCGGGCCCATCTACACCTTATCCTGAAGTTTGTTCCATTTGTGCCAGCCAAGCCCACCAAGTTAATGATTGTCCAACGGCGGCCCAGTTTCCGCAGTTTATCCAAAAACAGGTTCAGGCAGCCCAGAGTTTCCTCAGGCCTAATAATGGCCCATTTTCAAATACTTACAACCCTGGGTGGAGAAATCACCCTAACTTTTCTTGGATGACACATCAACCTAACACACAGTCCCAGTAATACCATCCATCTAACTCCATGGCCCAGCAATTTCAAAGGCCACAAATGCAGAGACAATTCCAGCAGACTTACCCTAGGAACCAGCCGGTCCAACCTTGTCAGGTTTACCCATAACCTCCTCAGACCAGTATAGTTGATGACAAATTCATGCAGCTTCAGTAGCAGTCCATTGCTAGATTAGAGAGCCAAATAAGACGACTAACCAAAGACAATGCGAGGAGAGAAGTAGGACAACTATCGAGTCAATCGATTACGAATCCTAAAAATCAGTCACCGGGTTTTCCTCCACAGCAGGTTCAACCACCTCCTAAGAATCCTCAGTCTGAAAATGCCAAGGCTATGACCTCAAGGAGTGGGAGGATTTTAGAGGACCCGTATGAGAAAAAGAAATTTGAAAACATCAGTGAAGAAGAAAAGGAGCAAGAAGACCATAAGTTGGGAGGGGGGGAAGAAAAAGGAAAGAAAAATTTAGAAGAACCTATAGTGAACCGACCGGTAGTTCCCTTTCCAACCGCACTCACAGCCGGACCGTTGCGAAAGACGAAAGAGACTCGCAACGAGGAGATCAGGGAATTATTCAAGCAAGCCCATATTAACATCCCTCTCCTTGACGAGATCCTACATGTCCCGGCGTACGCCAAATTCTTGAAAGAGTTGTGTACTCAAAAAAGGGAGCCATGATCGGCCCCACAAAAAGTGATGCTCTCCCCAAATGTTAGTGCGGTTCTCCTAAACCAACTCCCTCAGAAAATGAAAGACTCTGGTGCTCCTCTAATAAGTTGTGTCATCTCTGGAATCACTTTTGACCGGGCCCTACTGAATCTTGAGGCCAATGTAAATCTGCTCCCCTCTATTATTTATGAAAGGTTAAGGATCGGCGAGTTAAAACCTACACCGGTAATTTTGCAACTAGTTGATCGATCAGTCAAGACTCCTTGAGGTGTTATTGAGGATGTCATTGTCAGAGTAGAGGATTGTTACTTCCTAGTGGATTTTATCATCCTAGACATGACCCCAACCGAGGAACTGAACCATAACCCGATAATCTTAGGACATCCGGTTCTAGCAACTGTCAATGCAAACATCAACTGTAAATCGGAAGAAATTGACATTTCATTTTGGGAGCAGAAAGTCCGATTAAATGTATTTAGTGCCACTAAGTATCCAAACCTAGGGGAAGATGAGTTCAAGGTAGAGGTAGCGAACGACCTTGTAGATGCCCTGTCTACCCTTTGGTTAGCCCAATCTCAGCCCTATCTGTGTAAAGAAGAAAGTGAGTCTGGGAGTGTAGATGTGAGAAATGAGTGAATGCGTCTGACTGAAGACGTTAAACTTAACGCTGGTTGGGAGGCAACCCAACGTAGTTCTCAGTTGCTTTTGCTTTTAGGATTAGAGTTTTTGTTTTCTTGATTCAAGACCAATTGACAGATCCCGAACCCCTATTGAATCCTTACCTCTTGATTGTTCCCTTTGGCCCAAGTCCCTTTTGCATCATTCTAGTCATGCCATTAGGGACAATGGCACTTAAGTTGGGGGGTAAGGAAAGAGAGAAAAAAATTGAAAATAATAATAATAAGAGCTAAGCCTTTAGAAATGCATAACTAAAAATTTTGCTGAGAAATTTTCAAGTTTTTCCATTAAAAGAGATTCCCAAACAGAAAAAGTTGAGGAAACTGATCTATACAAAGTTTGAGAATTCTGGAATTAGGATACTTGGCTGATTTTGCCAAGGATGATCTTGCTATGGGAATGACTTCTTTTTATACTCATTAGGATTTTAAGGCTGCATTGTTAAGGGAGTAGCAATGATCAAGTTGGGGGTGTGATAACTCTGTATTTTGATGCCTTAAGGGCATCATTTCAAGGGTATTTTAGGCCTTAGAATAGTCAAAATGTGTCATTTTCCCAATTAAATTCAATATTGTGACCTCTGAGGGTCCCTATGCAAATCCTAGGAAAAACTGGGGAAGTTTCAGGGCTGAAATGCAGTTTTTAGGAAGCTGGTGTGAATTCCAGTTGAGAGATGGGGTGTTTATGTGAAAAACTGAGCATAAGAGGGTGCCTCCTATCTGCCAAACCCAGATAGGCACGCCTCCTATCTACCAAACCCAGATAGGCGCCCCTCCTACTGTATTAGCATACTCCCCTCTCCTTAGCAAACCCTAGGGCACCTCCCCACTCATTCTTTTCACCTCTAACAAACCCTAGCCGCCCTAAGCTATCAAATCTCCACCCTCCACTCTCTCCTAACCTCTAATCTCAACCATCCAAGCCTTAGCAGCCCCTCATACCCTTAGATTTCTCCTTAGAATAATCCTAACCCTCCATTCTCAAACCCTAGGGCACCCATATTTTTGCATAAACCCAAGAGCTGCCCATCTCTTCCTCTCTAATCCTAATTATGTCCACCCTTCTCTATAAAAAGGACCCAAGGGGCCCTTGAGAAGGGGTTGGTCAATTCACCTAGTTCGCAAGGCTAAGGTTTCTTGAGGAGTTCAAGGGTTGTAGAAGGGAAGGACGCCCAGATCTTGTCAGGAGGGGTTCTTGCAAGCAGCCCATCCAATCTGCAACTACCGCCACTGGATTTGATCAGCCATCCCTTTCGTTTTCTTTATTTTATTTTATGTTATTTTTATTCTGGTAATATTTTAGATCTAATTTATGTTTGTTTGTGTTTTGCATATCCGAATTCGTCCGATTCAAGGCTAAGGTGTCTCGAGGGGTTTGAGGGTTGAACAGAGGGAGAAAGCGTGTATTTCGTCTTCCCGAACAGCTACCGCCACTGGATCCAAATTTTGGATCATTTTTATTTATTTTTTTTGTTGATTTCAATGTTCTTTAATTTCTGAATTTTATTATTGTCTTGTTCAATTCAAAACATTTAATTTCAGCATTAATAAATTTTATGTTCTTATTTTCTGTAAATTTCATATCTATTTTCCTTTTATTTGTCCGGAACGAAAATAATAATTTTTATTCTTGCTTCCTTGTGGATTTGACCCCTTCCTCACCACGTACTACGTTGTTTAAGGTTATGTGAGGATTGGAAAAATTTACAAATCTCTAAACTGGTGCCACGGGTGTTTGACGACGCATCCCGGGCACACCAATCACAAAAAGGAAAAGCCATTGAACATACCTCAAGAATTATAGGACAACTTTCTTTAGTCTTTTTCTGTATATGCTCATATGCAACTTTTGCAACATCATGCTCTGCAGCTTTGCGATTTGAGAATGTCCTAAATGATGTATAAGTTTCTCCATCAATCAAAACTGTAGACCTGAACTTTGGTGCATGCGGAGCTCCCTCATTAACACAGCTATAAACAGGAAGTGGGATAGCTGATTTTTGTGCATATTCATGTAACCGGTTTTTGTGCATCAAATTTTCTGGAAAACCTAAAGCATTCGTATGAAAAATTCAATATCCTCATATGAATTTTTAGTTTGTTATTGGTAATTGAATAGTTTGACTTACAAAGAAAAACCTGAAATCTAATTCATTTTATGGTACAAGGTATTAGCCAATCCATGTAAATAAATTTGATTGCAAACACACTGAACTAATAAAATGCTAGAGCATTCTCAATTCAAACCTTATCCTTAGTGTAGTGACTTGTAAAGCATATGGACTTGAGAAAGTGCAGCTAGACAAGTTTACAATAAATAATATTGACTTGACAAATACACATATTGTGATAGGCAACATAACCAAGACAAACCATTTTTAGGGAGGTTTAGCAAACTAAGATCTATTATTGTTTTGGACATGTTTGTTCATCAAATATGGCAATATTAGCTTGGTACCTTTCATGAGAGGTCTTTACATAATCAATCCTAAGAGGAAAAAGCATATTAGGTAGAAAAGATGACAAAAACCAAGGGGAACGGATTTGAGCACATCCTATATTTGATAATCAGTCACATTCTCAGTGAAAAGACAATAGGTACTTGAGTAATAAATAATTAGGGACAAGATCACTTTGTCAAGATTGGGATGTGTCCAAATAAATTCCCAAACTAAGGGATGGACTCCAAATATGAGCTACCCATAATCCAACCAAACCAGACGAAAAGAATCTGATGGATGGTCTGAATTGGCCAGATTCTATCTTTGTTCTAAGAGCAATTAAAATAGATCCATATGGCTTGATATCAGAGTTGTTTTTCCATGCTATCATTAACATCAGGGGTGCAATCGAATCAAGCTGAGTCAAACTTTGGCATGTCTTAGCTCAGCTCGGCTGAAATACTCTTATCATAGTTCTCAAGGTGCCAAGGCGAGGCTAGGCAACAAGGGGAGCCTTGTCACCTAGTCGCCTAGGAGATGGGTTTTGTAAAAACATATATCCTAGGGTAGTTCCCTAGGTTCCATAACCATGTTTACTTAATAATTATCCATAATTTTCATAAGAAAAGTATAAACTTCATGTTAAAGAATAGAAAATCAACATATTCAAGAGAAGAAAACAGAAGAAAGAAAAGACAATTCAAAAAATATAGGGGATGAACCCCTATTTTGATTATAGGAAAAGAAGAAAAGAATAGCTGAACTTTGATGGCAATAGTATAGGGAACCCAGGGCAATCTGGTATTGGAGGAGTTTTCAGGAATGAGCATGGGAATGTTTCAGCCATTTTCTCAGGCTCAATTGGTGAAGGTGATTGCCTTAGGGCTGAGGTCTTTGCTGCCTTGGAAGGAATTCAAAGAGCAAAAGAAATGAATATAAGGAGGCTTGTAATTGAAGGTGACTCGGAGGTGGTAATAGGATGGTCAAAAGAAGATAAAACTGGAATGTGGAGTTACAGCAATGAAAAGAAAAAAATTCAAGTGGCTGGCTAAGGACATTGAGTTAAAGTACAGTTGGCTGAAGAGATCTGCTAACTCGTTTGCTGATGGGTGAGCCAAGCAAGAGGTGACTAGGGAATCTCTGTTCTGGGCTCAATTTTAATTCTGTCTTTTAATTTTTCTTTGGGGGCTCCAGCCTCGTCTGGGGGAGTTAGGACAGTTTATCTCCCCATTTTTTGTACTTATTTTTTCTTAACGATTAATGAAAGTTACCTGTTATTGATAAAAAAAATAAAAAATAAAAGAAGAAAAGAAAAGGTGGAAGAAGAAGAAGAAGAAGAAGAAGTTGAAGAAAATGTGTCGATTAGACAAAATTTTAAGTTCTTTCTTATTTATTTTCAGGTTTTAAAGTCTTTGAGGATTCAATACAGTAGTTAGCAATGCTTGTGTTGATTAAACCCTAACAAATAAGAAATAATAATAAAGAAATTAGTATATAAACAAATAAAATGAATATTTTAGTTTAATAATGTCTTTTTTATAATTGTAATCCCAAAAAATTAAGAATACAAAAGTATTTTATAACACAATATTCAAGATTGCTTGGCAGTTAGGTAAGGCAAGCCTCCACGGGCGCCTTGTTGCCTTGACAACTATGACTCCTATATTTGAATTTCAAGTTCAAGTCAAACTCTATTTTCCGGTTCATATTCAGTTCGACTAAATATTCAATAAGTTTGAGTTCAGCTCAAAAGCTCGAATGTGAGTGCTAGTTTCTTAACTGAATTTGCATGCAACTAGGCATACCACTTTATAAGCTTCCAGGGAATTTACAAGCATAACAACCAATAGCTTCAGCCACTCATTTATTTAATATACAGTAAATATAAGATTTAATGAGAGGGGATGGGTATTAATATAAGTTTTCCATCAGACTTGATGGAAAACTTTTGGGATGTTCTTGAGATCCAAGCTTGTAATGTGAATCTTTTCCATTTTGATTAACTCTCTTGGTGTGTCATCTTGACACCCAATCAGCTTGCACTCGCTTTTCTATTTTAATAAAGATATTTTCTTTACTCTTCAAAAAAAAGTTAATACCTTATATAGGACTTGGTAAGAGGGAATGGAATGAATTAACTTAGTATTCGCTTGTATATTAATTTTTCAGCTATGAAAGTACATGACACTTGTGATTTGTGTTTTGTTTGGTGATGTTGGTAGTACCCCTTCTGGTAGAAACTCTACGGGTAGTGGTAGAGCTGCTACAGGTACTGATAGAGCTTCTACCGGTAGTGGTAGAGTCATAGAGCTTATACTGGTAGTGGTAGAGCTTCTACGGCTACTAGTAGGTAGGTGAAGGCAATTCTATCAGAGTATAGTTGTTATCTCTCTTACATGGGCTGAAGTGTATTTCATTGTTACAATGTTACCGGTAGTGGTAGAGTCATAGAGCTTATACTGGTAGTGGTAGAGCTTCDACGGCTACTAGTAGGTAGGTGAAGGCAATTCTATCAGAGTAKAGTTGTTATCTCTCTTACATGGGCTGAAGTGTATTTCATTGTTACAATGTTACCGGTAGTGGTAGAGTCATAGAGCTTATACTGGTAGTGGTAGAGCTTCDACGGCTACTAGTAGGTAGGTGAAGGCAATTCTATCAGAGTAGAGTTGTTATCTCTCTTACATAGGCTGAAGTGTATTTCATTGTTACAATGTTACCAAGCCTAATCGAACTCAACCCTGAACTGTTCAATAAAAGCCCAAATCAGTTGCACACTTGCACCCCTAAATTCCACATCACCTTTCTATCTATGTTACCATCAACTCACCTTTCTTTCAACGGTATCTCTAAGTCCTTATCTTTAGTTGAATGGGGAGAATCCTGGATAGACTACAATATATAACATAAAGATTGGGCTTTCTCTTATTTTCCTTTTTTATGTTTTGCTTTCTACCTCCAGAGTCCTCAGATTAGTACTTAGGTGAGCAGTGGGGGCTCCCCTTGGTACATTTAAGCATGTGAAAACAACCACGCCTAACTAAAAAAGCTGAGCTCCGTTCAGAAGGCTACGTAGACAAGAAAAAGGAACTCAGAAATCAAAAGATCACAAACCATTATCAAAACAAGCCATCAGGCTCAACAAATGATACTGGACACATGACACGAGCCTGTAAAAGAAAACAACAATTTAAAACCCTAATCCCTTAACAGTTTTATAACAATAGCCTCAATTAGTTCTACTCCAAGCACCAAAATTTAAAACCAAACCAGACCAACAACAGCTCCCACTTTAACTCTCTCCCCCAGGAAAGCCCAATAAAACCAAACCCTACCAAACAGTAACACTTACCCCACACTAAATTAGTTCATCTCATAAGCCCAGGGGAGAAATAAATAAATGAATAAATTAGCTTAAAGACCACACATTTCTCTATCAAATTTTTGTTGGATAATCGACAAAAGCAGCAGCAGCTCGTTTCAGACATAGATATACTTACTAGGCTTAAACGGAGGATCCATTCCTGTTCAGATTCAGACTTCGGACGCTAGAAGGGAGGAACAGTTCTTCGCCTCTGAAAAGATGGGAGTGCAACAGCCATTCTAACAGTTTGTCGCAAGCACCTGGTTATGAATTTATGATCGTTGCTCTCGTGGATATACACGTGTTTATGTGTTGACATGAAGCTTGAGAAACCAAAAGTTTCCAATAGTCGTTGATGGATTCGGATGAGAGCGATACATCTGATCATCACTCTCGTCTTTCATTCCCGTACCCTATTTTCGTAAATGATGTGGCCATCTGGTCCGTGACCGAATCTGCTACCCACAAATCGCTACAGCCGCACATCCGGAACATCACATTGTTTCGTACTTATATGTTATTGAGGCCTTGTGGGTAGCAGAATCGGACTCATTGAATTAGTGACGACTTGAAAAATATAATGGAAATGCGGGGTATCGATCCCCGTACCTCTCGCATGCTAAGCGAGCGCTCTACCATCTGAGCTACATCCCCATATACATTCATTTATTTATTATATTTTATGTATTAAGAATGGCGCCCTTGCAATCTCTAATGTCTCTCTTCAACCTTCCCTGAGATCTCCCTCTAGAAATTTTCCGCTCACTATTTCTCAAAAGACTCGTTGGTATATAATTGATATGTTGGAACACAATTGATTACTTTGAGGATAGTTGACCTCTTGTGAACCCAATTTTTTTACTAATTAAATGAATGTTTCATTAAAACGTAAAAGGGAGAAACATCCAAAGAGATCGAATTGCACGACAACTTGGAGCATTACAAAACCACGAACCTTTTACACGAGATTGATTGGCTAAGAAATGAGCAATATTGTTTTTTGCCTATTTACAAAACAAAACACAACAAAATTAAAGCCCTGCCTCACAGCCAGAATGTCCAATAGGATAGCCCGGATTTCACTAGGAGGAGATCTCGATTAAGGCTGCAACTTGGGCCGGGTTGGCCTGAACCCAACCCGAAAATGTTGGGTTGGGTTAGGGTTGAAATTCATGAACCTAACTTTAGTTTGGGTTGGGCTAGGGTTGACCCCCTAGGAAACATGAACCCAGCTCTATAGTATATGTAATATATAACATATATTAATTTGTTTAGGTGAATGATATTTGTATAGCACCCACCACATAGTATCATGTATTTCTTTTGAGATAATCACTTCACTTAATCCTAATCGGAAAGACTAAAACCTTAATAACATTATTTTATGTTTTTTGAAAAGTTTATTCTTCATCTCCTCTATGTTGTTTGCCGCCCATAAAAGATCTATTATAAGTCACAATTCATAATAAACTATAGTCATTTCTAACACTTGTTTTATGAATTTTGTACCAAAAGAACAAAAAAAATGTCAGCAAACAAATACTAATGAAACATAGGATTAATATATGTAGTGAAAGTTGAGTTAAGATCTAAAATTGAGAAATTCTATGTGGTTTTAAGGGATGGAAAGAAGGTTGTGTTGGGCCCAACCTGGAGTTGACTTTAGGTCTAGCTGGGTTGGGTTAGATTGAAGGAATTTAGTTAGGGTTAGGGTTAGGGTTAGGGTTGGGGGTTTAGAACTTAGGGTTGGACTAGGGTTGGCCTCAACCCAACTGAACCTGGCCCAACTTACAGTCCTAAGGAGTATCCAAGCTGTCTATCAGGATTTTGAAATCTGAAAAGCAAATGCACTAATCCAGACCCAAAGACTTGACTAGCCTAGGCCTTCAAGGATTGCTTGAGCTTCTGAAATGAGAGGGATCTCAGCTTCACCACAAACGAGGTAGCCACCCCAAACTTCTTATGGTGATCAAAAACCACAAAACCAATTCTTGCATATCCATTGGTAGAAGAGAAAGCACCATCAACAAACAATCGGGCAAAACAATCATGGGGAGCTCCAATATGGTGATCCTTAGCATTATGATTTTTTGGAGAGGTCAGACGTAAAACTAGGAGATCTAACAAGCTTTGTACATATGATAGTAATTTGTTCACCCTAGCAACACAAATAGAGGGATCAACAATTACGTTTAAATGAACCAAGGAGTTTATTCTATTTCAAAACTGCCACAATGTGACAAAAAATGCAAAAAAAAAAAACTAATTTTTTATCAACCTTCAAAATATGACTATCCTTTGCCCAATGGAGAAGTAAAGATTACAAAGTGCACCTACCATCCTCTTAAAGCCGAAAACCCAAAAGAGATTCCAACCAAACCAGAGCATTGGTTTCATAGTGTAATAGAACGTGATCCACTACCTCCATGCAAAGGTTATAGACCGAACACAATGGTGATCCACTTCCTCCAAAGAAGGGAGGCCAAAACAAGAAGACTATGATGTATTGCTCTCCACATGAACTAGAGATAGCAATTTGACCCGTCCGTGTGGGGCCCTACCCCAGTCAGGGTGGGTTTTTTACCACTAGTCAGGGTTTGGGGCAGGTTAGGGGAAAACCCAAAACTCAGGGGGTCGGGGACAATATTTGTCCACCCCACCCCAAGCTCGACCTCAACCCCGCCTATATAACATAATACATATAAAATTGTTAATATATGCTAATGTATATTATATCATATTATATTATTATATATTATATTATACTATACTATATTACATAAAATAAAATAGTTCTAAGTAGATTTAAAAAAATTATAAATATACAAGTAAGAATGACTAGGGTGGGGTGGGCTAAAGTTGGGGATCCTCGTTCCCCGCGGGGATGGGGATGGGGTTGAAATTTTTAGCCCTACTGGGGTTCAAGGCGGGGAATTTCAATTCAGGGTTAGGTACGAGGCAGACAAAACCCGGCCCTGCCCCGCTCCATTGCCATTCCTAACATGGACAACCTTATTTTGGGAATAGCCTTACTACTCCAAACCAGCTTCCAAAGTAAGGACTCCTCTAGACTAGAAATCCCTCCACCCCTATCAATAGTTCTAACAACAAAATTCACATTGAGGCCATGGGCTAGATGGTAGGCCAACTTGACTGAGAACTCCCCATTTCTCTGAAGAGTCTAGACAACTCTGTCTTCTACTTCTTCCTTAGATGTAAATTTATGAAATTGCATTGGCAGCATGAGGGAAGTACCTATTCAATTTATCCATATCCCATTCATGGTAAGACATAGAAATGAAATCACTCACCTTTTCACACCCCCAGTCCAAAGGTTTTTCAATAGGCATTTTGAAACCCATAATAGAGGGGATCCATGAGTCCTTCCATGCATCAATAGAAAGGCCATTTCCTACTTGCCACATCACACCATTTTCTAGAATTTTCTTCCCCTCCATTAAACTCTTCCAACCCTAAGAAGCTGAAGTAGGATAGTTAGCTCTTAAGAAGGAGGTCCTTGGATGGTACTTGGCCTTCAACACCTAACTCACGAGTGAGTTTGGATTTTTAATGAAATACAAGCATTTCTTTGTTTACAAGGCCACATCAAAGCTCTTTATGTCTTTGAACCCCAAACCCCCTTCTCGTTTGGGCTTGCACAACTTAACCCAACTTACCTAGTTAATTTTATCAACATGGTTAATTTGCCCCCACCAAAATTTCCTTAGTATACAATTGATGTCCTCACACAAAATCTTTGGAAGAAGGTAGACTAACATGAAATAAACTAGAAGAGTCGATAAGACTGATTTTATTAAGACTTCCTTACCAGAGAGAAGTTTCTCCTTCTAGCCCCTAGCCCTTTTAGAGGCTCTCTCCACTATATAATTGAAAGAATTTCTCTTGGATCTCCCAACCTCGAGGGGAGGCCTAAGATATATGCTAGGTAACTTCACCTTGGTAACCTGACCTATCTAACTTTAAGGAAATTAGATAAGATTCTTTGAACTTTTCGGTGGGTATTGCTACTAAAGAAGACCTCAGACTTTTGAAGACCGACTTTCTGCCCCGATGCCTCTTCAAACTTTTTCAAAATTAATAAGATTTCATCACCTTCAGCTAGATTCACTTTCACAAGGATATAACTATCATCCATAGAAAAGCAAGTGAGAGACAGCAATACACCCCCTACTTATTCTAATATTAGAGATTTTCTTTTCTTTAGCCTTTCAAAGGAACATAGAGAGTGCCTCTGATACCAATAGGAACAAATACGGGGAGAGAGGGTCCCCTTGTCTAAGACCCCTGGAGGGGGTGATCACCCTACGACAACCTACTAATCAATACCTTATGAGTTATTGAAGAGACGCACTACCTAATCCAACCTCTGAATTTGCTCCCAAAACCTGGTTTGATCATCACTTCATCAAGGAAATTCCATTCCATTCTATCATATGCCTTCAACATGTCGAGTTTGATGGTCATATAATTCTTCTTTCCTTTTGCTCTATCCATGAAATGCAACAATTCATGGGCCAACAATATATTGTCCAAAATTTGTCTCCTAGGAATAAAGGCACACTGTTGAGGGCCAATCAAATTATCCATAACCACTTTTAGCCTTTTAACTATGATTTTTGAAATAATCTTATAAGGGGTATTACACAAGCTTATCGGCCTAAATTGCATTATACTTTCTGGATTTTGACCTTTTGGAATCAAAGAGATTAAAGTGTTGTTCAACTCTCTAAGCATGGAAGCTGATTTGAAGAACTCTTGAACTGCATCCAAATACTTGGGCCAACTATGTCCCAATAATTTTGAAAAAAGGTTTGGTAGTCCATCAAGCCTCAGGGCCTTGGATGGCACCATCTGATTGGGAGCAACTGAAATTTTTTCCATCGATATTTCTTTTTCCAATAATTCTTTTTGTTGATTAGTAAAACTACAAGTGCCTAAGAATTTCATTGCTATTCCTAGACCCTTCACTTGTGAATAGTCTCTTAAAATATCTAGTAATGTGATCCCAAATCACTTCTTCATCTTCCAACCGATTTTTCACTCTTCTTTGAATTATAGAGGCATGGAAAAACCTTGAGTTTTATCTCCCCATTTAAGCCACTAGATTCTTGATTTTTGGTGCCACAACATTTCCTCTCGCTTGAGTTCTAAGTCCAATCTTCTTTCTAATTCATCTCTCTTTGAATCTTTGTCATGACTAGGGGCAGTCTCTAGACTGTATTATGCCCACTTTTAATTTGTTGAATGTTGTCTTGAA